CATGCCTTTGTCTTTCCTCAGTTTCATCATCCCTACAGGAGAGTAATTTGTTTTTGAAATCAAATTAGTAGAGAAATACAAATTTATCTGTAAAATGAGCCAACATTTTGAACTGTTATCACGTTGTAGGTGGTGTTTGGTGCTTATGTCCCCCATGAACAGCTGCCTTTCTTCCACTTAGGGTATCATATGGTTCTGGATAGCTGCATGAGTGGGAACAGAAAATAAAGCTGGAAGCAACTGATGGCCAGAGTTTTGGCTTAGCTGCTAAAACACTTTGGACTAGTCATGTACCTCATTGTGTGTAACCGTGTAAAGTGGGTAAGCGCGATGGCATACAGACTTGTCCACTGGCTGATTCAGTGCTAGAGAGACTGAGGTGTGACAGGCCACAGGATGGCCCCCAAAGGCGTCCACACTCCAGACTTCAGAACCTGTGATGATGTCCCAAATACAGCAAGGGAAATGAAGGTTGCCAAGCAGCTGCCCCTGAAATGAGACTATCCTGGGCTCCCCAGCCTGGCCCAACATAATCCAAATGGTCCATTTTTTAATTATCATAGGGAGGCACTATATGAAGATGCTGAACTGCTTTGAGATAGAGGGAGAGGTCATGAATCAGGTAATGCAAGCGTCCATGGGAGATGGGAAGGCAAAGGTTTCTCCCCTGGTGCTTCCAGGAAGAATTCAGCATTGTCAATGCCTTAATTTTGGTTGACAATCATGCAGACATTTGCCCTCCAAAGCTCTTAAGCGATTGGTGTTGTAAGCTAATAAATACACCCTAACTTTGCCCTGATTTCTTTCATGAGAAACTGGAAACAACACATAAAACAAATACTGTCTTGTGCTCTAAAAATTGTATTTGAACAAGTGATTGCAGTGCACTTCAGAGAACGGCTGTGTTGGAGTTCTAAGGACGCTCTCCAGGAACACGCAACTCACATCCTCCCTGAGCAGATGGATGCCAAAGCCTCCTCCGGATCTACAGCATCTGGAGGCGGGCAGAAGCTCGCCGAAGCCTTCTGTCCAAGAAATTGGGCACCAAGTCAGTGCCCACAATCCCCACACATCCCACCACCACCAGCTCCCACTGATGCGGCCCTGAGAGGTAATGCTGGGGAAATGAGGCAGCTGTGTTTTGAAATGCAGGAACAAGGCTCTGGGAAATCTGTCAGTTTCAGGAGGGCAGAATCAATAAGCCATGTTTTCAAAATCTTAAGAAAATGAAATAAGGCTTGATGAGCATGCTTGAGCATTCTGCTACATTCACTTTTAAAAGATATGTGGAAGTACTTATTTAGTAAGAGACTTATTTATTTCGAAAATCAGAATCTCCCATCTGCTGGTTCACTCCCCAGATGGCTGCAATGGCCGGGAATGGGCCAGGAGCCAGGAGTGTTATCCAGGTCTCTCACAGAGTCCAAGCACTTGGGCCACCCTCCACTGCCTGTCCAGGTCATTAGCAGGGAGCTGCATTACAAATGGAGCAGCTGGGACACAAACTAGTACTCATAAGGGATGCTGGTGTCACAGGTGGCAGCTTTATCCACTATGCTACAAGAGCAGCTCAACATGAAATTCTTGCAAATAAGGACTATCTGTACATAGATCTAAGCCTCATAAGGAAGCGAGAGTATTTCTCTTATAGATCTTTTCTCCTCCACGTGTTTAATGCAAGAGACCTTGCTAAAAACTCCTTCACTGAGTTGCAAAGCTATGACTAAATGCTGGAGTATTAGATTATTTCATATTCCAGCTTCATTCTTCTGGTGATTCCATGCATCTTAAGACATTAAGCGGAAGTCTATCTCAAGCACACAAGGGTGTTTACAAACATTTGTGAAAACTGGAATTAACATTTTGGGGCAAAAATAGCAATCCATGCAGCTTTTTCACACTATGCTCTTTCCATAATTTTTTGGCATGCACAACAGCTATGGCTGTAAACAGGCCTGACTGGGGAGGTAAGAGTATGCCCAGACTGGGTTGTGGTTCCCACTGGTGAGCATGAGTATTGAAATGGGGGGTGGCAATCTGTGCTGGATGTGACTGCAGTGCCCCTTAACATGGGTGTGTACTGGGTCTGGGGTGTGACGGACTGGGCTAGATTCCAGCACTCACTGGTACTCGTGAGAGCCAGACTGGGTGTAGAACAGGTTGGGATAGGTCTTGAACTCTCTCTGAACTATGTGAAAGCCGTGTCTGGGCGTGGACCAGGTATCGCTGGGCTGCAACAACCAACAACAAGGACCAGAATGGGTATGGCTGGCTGAGCAAGGCCACTGTTTTCGCTGGGACATGGGGTGGACAAAGTCAGCCTGGGCCAATGACCTACTGGTGTGTGCGAGAGCTGCCACTGGGAGGAGGCTGGATGGAGGAGCTTGGGAAACTCCCTCATTGGGACGCAGTCCCTGCAGGTGAGTGCAAGAAGCAAGGCAAGGAGCAGCCCAGACCACGCCGGGTTACAGTACCCGCCGGCATACATGTGGTCAGGTCTGGGGACAGACCAGTCTGGGCCAACACATAGCACCCACTGGCAGATCAGAGAGCCAGAGTAGGAGACAGGAGGAGCCAGATCAGGCCACAACACCAGCCAGTTCACATTAGGGCTGGGACAGCAATCAGGGTGGACTGAGATAGGCTGCAGCACTCACCAGCAGGAGCTGTAACAGGGGTAGCCTAGACCAGACCAGGTTGCACAATAAGATTGTACATACTGAGGTGAGGCGAGTCATGCAAGCCTGGGTCCAGTGGAGGCCAGGTTCATGAGTCCCAGGGATGGGAGATCTGACAGGGCTTGAGTAGCTTGACTCAGGTCCTGGGGCCTGCCTTCTAGGTAGGTGTTGGGTTCATGAGCCCCAGGGGTAGGGGATCGAGTGGGGCTTGGGTTGCCTGGTCTGGATCATGGGGTTTACCTACTAGGTGGGTGCTAGGTTTGTGAGCCCCACGGGTGGGGGACCTGGTAGGGTTTGGGTCACCTGGCCCGGGTCCTGGAGCCCACCTGCAAGAACATGTCTTAGTGAAAAAAGAGGTGGAATAGTGGACACAGACCCTGTTGTTAAAGGAGAATATGGCAGCTCCTTTGGTGTCATAGTAGAAGGAGGAGGACAGAACAAACTGGACAACTACCCCAGTCAAATGATGAGAGCAAAAAAATCTCATTGAATGCAGATTTTAAGCTTACTATGTCAGCCAGTGGACACTGGGAGGGTGACGTCATCTTCGGATTGGTGCAATCGACAGCATTGCAGAACTATCCAAGCAACATGGGCCAAACCCTTGGAATATGTCCACATTGAGACTCTGGCTTGATATGAGGTGGCAGTTCCTCATCCCTGGGTACTGGGACTTGTGGAAAGTCATATATGGCTTCCCCCTTTGTCTCTCCCCTTCCCCAAGAAACAACAATAGCAAAATTGAAACAATGTGTTCACCCAGTTTTCCCTAAGTCTCGATCCTTTCCACCCTGATCAACCATGTAATCATTATAAAAAATAAAATTAATACAAAAACATCTCTGGAGAGAGGAGCAAGTTGGCACATTGCAAAAAAAAAAAAAAAAAAAAAGACTCCATATACAGGAATCTCAAAACTTTTTGGCACCAAAACCAACATCAATTCCACTTTCTACAAACTTTGAAGACCCTCAAGTAACTTTGGCGAAGGCGCTGCCTTCTCTGAGGTGTCTTCGGCTCTTACTGTTGGCCATCAGCTGTATGCCTCGGGCACAGGTACACACGAGTCCACCTGTGCTAACTTCTCACCTGCTCACAGTCTCTCCTTTATTCGGGCTTGTTTTGCTTAATGCCTCCAGAGGGAGTGAGAGCATGCAGCTGCACTATGTAGAAAGAACTGTGTGGCATGAGATACCAGTCAGCTGATTTGGAAACATTCTTTTAAAGACTTATGTGTTTACTATTTGAACGGCAGATTTTATGAGAAAGAAGGAGAGACAGAGAGGTCTTGCATCCGTTGGTTCACTCCTCAAATCGCTGCAATGACTGGAGCTGAGCTTATCCAAAGCCAGGAGTCAGGAGCTTCTTCCAGGTCTCCTATGTAGGTACAGAGGCCCAAGGACCTGGGGTATCCCCTGCTGCTTTCCCAGGCCACAAAGCAGGGAGCTGGATTGGAAGTGGAGCAGCTGGGACATGAACTAACATCCATATGGGATGCTGGCATTGCAGGCAGAGGATTAGCTTGCTGGCTTTTAGAAACTTCTGAGCACTATTCCTTTCAAAAAAGCAAAAAAAAAAAAATACTACACGGAGTACTAAATGTTCTTATCAAATATGTGGGATACCAATGAAATGATATCACTGAAATGGCTGTCATGGAAATGTGGTCATTCTATTGAATGCCACAGCGCAGGACTCAGGCCATTTCAGAGAAGCAAGAACGGCCGGGGAGTCCAGCAGCAGGAGGGGCAATCCTGTAGCAGTAATGTGCCCCGTGGCAGAAGTGCCAGGCTAACCCAGCAGTACCCAGCTTGGGTCTGAAGCAGTGATGTCTGAAGCAGAACTTCACAAAGCCTGCCCAAACACTCAGGATGAAAAGATATGCTTCCATATGGTGAGAATCCCAGCCTCACTTTTTTTTTTTTAAAAAGGGTTAATTTCAGTTTACTGATGTAAGGATTTAGCGTGTCGAGGAAGCACAGACATAAGCAGGCTCATTCCTAACTGGTAACATTTGAAACAAACCTTACATTCTTAACTACTGACACATCAAGGAGGGCCTACTTTACTATTTCTTCCTCCCTGAGTAGCAGCTGTGGTCCCCTCCACTCCCAGCCTGCAGCTGTGTGTCTGCTGGTTCCAGCAAGAGCCATCCTTATGCACAGCCATGACTCTTAAGACCCCGGCATCGTTGACACGCTCACAGAAGCAATATGCTGGCGTTTGGTGAGGGCCTTGCGAGTTGTAAAGTGGTTCCAGGGAAGGAAAGTGAGATGGCATGGCACACATTTCAAACACACAGTTACATCCTGCAAACAGTGCTAGGTTTTAGTTAATATATTTATTACAGCAGGTCTTTAGGCATTTTCGTCATGGAAAAGTTTCCATGATATTTCACAAAATCCTTTCAGCTATTAGTATTATCTTTTTCTCTTTCCACGGAGTGACACCTTGTTAATTTATGAAATATTTACAGCGTTTACAAAAATCAAGAGAAAGTCTAATAAAATTTCTTATACTTACAAAATTCATACATTATACTACTGTATTTGAGATGTCTTATTTGGTAGACCAATTAAGCTATGACATAAAATAATTTACAAAGATATATTTAATCTCTCTTAATCCATTGACAACAAAGCCATATTAGCTATAAATAGTTCTTTACAAATCATTGTAAAACACATTTTTTAACTCTAGCATTAGCTTTTACAAATATACTTACTAAATGAATTAGCTCAAATATCAAATTGAACTGTGCATTTAAAATTTCGCTTAATACTACAAACAAAACCTGAAAAAAAGCAAACTGCCAGGTACTTCAAGTAAAAATTTATAGAACCAGTTTGTATGCACACTCAGGGGAAGGGGAACCCAATGCCACTTAAACTGGGATTCAGGAACACCACGCGACTGTACATCCGTGTGGGGCATGGATGGCAAAGGCGGCCGCTCCAGCACGGGTCTGGATGGTGCTGCAGAAGCTTGCGTCCTGTGTGCCAACACACACCTGACATCCTTAGCAAGTCACCCGTGGGCTTTGCTGCAACCCAAAGGCCATGCCGACTCTCAGGCACGCCCACGAAAGAAGGTAGAGAAACAGCTGGCAGAGTTTCCGAACAAATCAAATCATACTTAACTGGGTCTCACTGGTTTTCAATATAAAAATATGCTCCTCTTGAAAATCACGGGGCAGAGTGATATGCCCACATTTCAAAATAAGGAAAAACTCACCTACGCAGCCAGCTCTCTGTACGCCGCTACTTCTGACGGCATGGTAGTTGGCAATTCTCTAAACGTCTTGCTTTTGGATAACGCTGAGCTCAATTTGGTTTTGGCAGTAATACACATCTTTCACACATGAATTCATTTCAGATCGTTGAAAGCAGTATTTTAAGTGGCCCGAGGAAAATTCATTCCACAAACATATTTTCCTCCTTTAATTTAAAATAATGTTTCAATTAAGCCCACAAAATACATATTGCACACACAGTACTTCCATAGAAGTCAACTGAATTAAAATTTTATCTTTGAAAATTTGCTTTTCAAAGGTGTCAGGTTTTCCTAAAACCTCACCTCGGCTCCTTTTTTTCTGATGGCTCTGTGGACACTGTGATGTTCTTGCATGTATTCTAGAAGGCACATGTTCCAGAGTTTAAGATTATGTTAGTTCAAGTTCTACACAGAGGCAAACATTTGAACCTACTTTGTACAGACGCCCAGACTCAAAGTCCTTTATTAGGAGCTGTCAGAAGTGAGTCTGTAGATGAGGCACCATTTGTGAAGGGCTGGAGGGTGAGGTGGAGGCACTGGGAACCTTGGAAGAGTTGGCGAGCTGCAGTTCTTCCAGCCGCTTGATGTAGTCGTCGCGCAGAGCCAGGAGCTCCATGTACCGCTGCTCCACTGGATTGGGCTGCTGCAGGGAACCAGAGAGTCATGCTTGAGGCAGCCCACGCCCCCAGGAACCCACCTTTTCCCACTTGTGTTCTCGGAGTAAGCTCTTTCATTAAGGTTTCACACAGAGACACATTTTCTTGAAATATAGCAACACTGACTTGCAACGAAAAGCACCAAGTACTAAACACCCAGCTATTCACCACTGAGAAACAACTGATATGCATAACTCCTTGCAAATACATAGCCAAGTGATTAAGAAGTAATATGTATGCCTGACTTGAAAGCAAAGAGACAAAGAGATACTGATGTCCCATCTGCTGGTCCACTCCCCAATGCCTGCCACACCTGGGCGGACTCATCCCTGCCAGATCACCCATGTTTGGGTCCTGGCTCCACCCTACAATCAAGGTTCCTGACAATGAGTCCCCTGGCAGGCAGCAAGGCTAGCTTAAGCAGTGGGAGACCTGGATCGAGCTCCCAACTCTGCAAGGTCAGCGAGTGCTTAAGTGTGTGTACACTTCTGTAATCACACTCAGATCCAGACACACAAGAGCAGCTACAAGAAGGCTGAAGTTTTAAAGGGATCAGGGGCACTTTCTGGAAGGCTTGAGAAGTAAGGACCGAAAGAGGCAAAAATAAAAAGCCCAAACTCTAGAGGAGGGTCTTCCTTTGGCACATGCCGTGGTTTTCCAGAACCATTCTGCCTTCCACTGCATGAAGCTATCTGCAGTACTGCAAATACCAGCAAGGCAGCCAGGGAGCAGAGGAACTGAGTAAGACAGAATCCAGCTGTGAATGCTGAGAATGCTCTGTAGGATCAGTGGCTCCCTCGAGCCACTGCATCCCACAGGAGGGGACCTGCCCCCAGGGTTAACACTGCACTTCCGTTTCCTGGGACCATGTGAACAAATTACCACAAACATGGAAGACTTGAAACAATTTATAAAAAATTAATTGAAACAACAGCAGCAAGTTTACAGTTCTCTGCAGAAGCCCCAGTCAGTGTCAGCAGGGCCACGTACTCTCTAGAAACTTCTTCCAGCTTCTAGGGGCTCAGCTATTCGTAAGCTTGTGGCTGCATCAGTTTAGTGTTCATAGGGCCTCCTCCCCTCTGTAGTGCCTGCCTCTCAAATCTCCCATCCTATGAAGACTCGCGTTTCTGGATTTAGGGCTCACCCTAAATTGAGAATGTTCTCATCTTGAGATTCTCAACTTCATTGCAACTGTAAAGACTTTTTTTCCCCAGAAAAAGTCCTACTTCACAGGTTCTCCATGCATTTGTCTTTTGCAGAGAGAGCACTGTTCGCCCCGACCCAGACTTGCCAAGGGCGAGCTGGCTAAGGCTGCATGTACACGCGGCAGCTCAGCAAGCTCGCATTTCGTCTGAGAGCGCTGCCTTCATCAACACTGAGTTCACGAAGGGCCACAGGTGCTCCTAAGCCTATCCTTCTTCAAATCGCTGCTGTTGGAAGCACAAGACTTTGCAGTGTGAGGAGTTTAAAAATGCATCCCTGGTGCGAGGGCAGGAATGCTTGCCAGAGTGTCTCTCACCCTGTAAGATGCTGCTCGCTTAGCCCCTTGGCCCATTGCCCTCGGGGTGTGTATCCAACTCAGGAGCAGATGCTGCCCAAATTCCCGTGTTCGTGGCATTCATATTCCAGCAGGGGGAGACAGACAAACGACAAACCTCTGGCCAGCTCAGTAGCCTGGCAGCTACTGAGCCTTGTACGTCTGGGATGCCATATGGGCACCGGTTCATATCTTCGCTGCTCCGCTTCCCTTTAGGCTCCCTGCTTGTGGCCTGCGAAAGTAGTCTAGGATGGCCCAAAGCCTTGGGATCCTGCACTCATGTGGGAGACCTGGAGGAAGCTCCTGGCTTCAGCTAAGCTCAGCTCCAGCCGTTGCGGCCACTGGGAAGTGAACTAGCGGATGTAAGATCCTTCTCTCTGTCTCTCATCCACTCTGTAAATCTTTCCAATAAAAATAAATGTCTTTGAAAAAACCTGACAAACACCACAATACTGCTGGGAAGCAGAGCAAAGCAAGAGGGGTTGGACGATCAGCAGGCCAGTGACAGCCTGCAGCAGGCAGGGGGAGCAAGCCGACTGAGGAGGGAATTCTGTGAGAAATGCTTGGGGGAGATGAAGGAGGGAGCCAAGCAGATACTGGAGTGTCTGAGGAAGAGAGCAAGATGGCGCTGTGGCTGAGGCAGAGGGTGTGTGACACTGCTGTTGAGGGAGAGGCTAGGAGGCCAGCAAGGAAAGGAGTGGGGTCAAATAAGGCCTCAGAAGTCACTGTAACGACTTTGGCCCTGACTCTGGATGCATTGAGCAGTTTTGTGGGCCTTAAAAAAAATGACTGATTTTATGTATTTGAAAAGACAGAGTTGCAGAGAAAGGGGAGGAATAAAGAAAGAGAAAGAGGTCTTCCAACTTCTGGTTCATTCCCCAAACGGCAGCAATGGCTGGGGCTGGGCCAGGCCGAGCCAAGAGCCTGGAGCTCCACCTGAGGTCCCACATGGAGCCAAGGCCCTGGGCCATCTTGTGTTGCTTTTCCAGGAGAATTAGCAGGGAGCAGGATGAGAAGTAAAGCAGCTGGGACTTGAGCCAGCCCCAGCCCTCTTATGGGCTGCTGATGATACAGCTGGCCTAACTTGATGCCCTATGAGGCCGGCAGCTAGCGGGGCAGCTGTGAGTAGGGGAATGGCATGATTTTATGTCTCTGTCACAAGGACCACTTTGGTGGCCATTAGAGGGACAGAAGCCAAGGAAGCAGGCAAAGTACCAGGGGGTTCATGAGAAGGCTACTATTGCCATCTGTGGTAGAGGGCACAGGCCTGTAGGGGTGAGAGACAAAGGAGTGTGAGACAAGGCTAAAGTTCCTGGCCAGAGGATTTGAGATGGAGGCGCTGTGAGCCAAGAAGGGGAATGTGGCAGCATAAGGTGTTGGGGCTAAGTTAGGAGATCTGATTGGACACATGGACCCATCACCATTTTCTGAACACTTTCTGCTCTCCCTTCTGGCCCATGATGTTGCCTTCCTTCCCTCCTAAGTGTCCACATCTACGTGGGTCTGTTTCGGAGCTCTATTCTGTTCCAAATAAGAGGCGCAGTTCTTCCTCAACATTCGCCCTCAAAACTGCCTTGAACATTGTTTAAAACCCCCTTTTGATATTAATATTCAAATTTGGAAAGAGAATTTAACATCTATTTGAATAGTAGAATCAGTATGTAAAAACAAACAAACAAAAAACCAGAGATAATGCAGTCATTTCCAGAGAAGGCATGACTGTACTATAGCTAGACAGGCAGGAGCAGGCATCCGGCCCAGTCGCTAAGGCACTACCTGGGCTGGCTGTCTGTACAGCAGCATGCTTGGCTGGAATCCTGGCTACTCACACCACAGGAGCAGCAGGGGATGGCTCAAGTGCTTGGGCCCCTCTCCCTCAGGGGGACTCAGATACTGCTCCTGGCCCCTGGCTTCATGCGGTCTCAACCTCGGCCCTTGTGTACTTGGGGAGTGAATCAGTGCACGGGAGAGTTCTGTCTCTCAAATGCAATGAAAATCATTAAATATTTATATATATTAAAACAAACCTTAAGAGAATAAACAGGATACTCATAGAAATAAGAAGATAATTCGGTCAGGTTGCAGAACCATGTAGAAGCTATTAGCTTACAGAATGACAAAAAGTATGTGCAGGCTTTACTAGAAGAGTCCATCTGTGATAAAAATGCATCACTAAAATAACAAGAAATCAAATTTAAAGGCAAATCATTGTAAATGCTATACCTGGACTTCTAATTTGGGAACTGAAGCCAGAAGCACAGTGTGTGCTGACTCAGCACGGAATAGAAGGCAAGCGACTGGCTGGCATGGAAGTATTCTGCCATGCAGTAATTTCTGTGTTCATAAACTGTTGAACTTGGCCACTAGCTATAGCGCAAACAGCACACAGTCAGTCTGTGAAGACTGACTACGCTCACGCTCAGGCTTTAGTCACCCGTACACAAAATTTGCATCTGTGCAAAGTAACCCTTCCTGGTTACACTGCAGCTTCCGGGAAGGCGATGCCTATATGGGATAGGGCTCACTGGCTGCTCATGTTCCTTCTCAGCTTTGTCATGGGATCAATTCAGACTTCTGTTTTCAGCAGAATTAATTTCCTCATATGAAGTAAAAACACCAAAGCTGCTTATTAATAGATTCTCAAATGTCAGCAATGCTCCTTCCACAAACTGCTGTGTGTTTATGTCGTGGCAATGCTCGGAGGATTTCACATTGAGAACCATAGCAGGCCTGCCTCCTGCGAGGGGAACAGCTCACTGGAGTTGAGGCTGCATGTTCTTTTTATCTTGCAACACTCAGAGTGAGCAATGAGGTTGAGAATACTGTAGGTGTCCAGTAAGTGTACACCTTTGGAGTCACACAATGAAATAACAATTTAACTTGTAAGTGCTTAAATGCATTCTTTTTAAGTTTATGTTACATAATTTTAGAAGTCATACATGATTTCATTTTAATCTTTTCCCACGGAGCAATGTTCTATATAAGCAAATTTTGAAGAAAATTTACTAAATTCAAATCTATATCATCATACTTATCCTTGTGTTTAATAATTGCTGGTCAGTCCTGCCGGGTGGGGGTTTCCGTGCTTTCTTCCTGCTCTGTGGTCTCCTAGTCCCTGAGACCTGGGCACCCTAAAGAGTCTGCGGATGGAAATATTAAAGGCCACCCAGCTCCAGATTTTTTTTTAAGGTTTCTCTGTCTTCCCTTGAAAGAGGGAAGGAGAGACAGAGACGGAAGTCTTCCATCCAGCGACCCAATTCCAAACGGTCGCAATAGTTGGAGCAGGATCTGTCCAAAGTCAGAAGTTTCTTCTGCATCTCCCATGTGGGTTCAGGGGCCCAAGCGTTTGAGCCAATTTCCGCTGCTTTCCCAGGGATATGAGTAGGGAGCTGGATCAGAAATGAAGTGGCCAGGACACAAACAGGTGCCCATACGGGACTGCATGTGCAGGCTCAACATACTACGGGATCGCACGCAAAAATTCCTATGGGGCCCAGCTGCACCCTGCTAAGCTCTGTAGGGATGGTAAATACATTAACATTTTCTAACAATGTACCTTCACACTTTACTTGCCACACAATTTTCACGGTTACCTTTATACATTCAGGAATAAATTGCTCTAAAGTTCTTGAATTTTTAGAATTTCTTAAAATTCAGATGGATGAAACATAACAGAATTAGTACATGAGCTATCGACTTGGCTCCAGCTCCTGATTCTAGCTTTCTGCTAATGCAGACCACAGGAGGCAGTGGGTGAAGGTGCAGACAATGGGTTCCTACCATCCACGTGAGCGGCTTGGATTATGATCCTGGCTCACCTGTTGTGGCCATTTGGGGAGTGAACCAGCGCAGGGAAGCTTTGTCTATCTGACTCTATCTTTGCTTCTCCAGTATTTTAAAATACTTGATGTTTCAGGTGCTTAGAACTAATTAATAAATGGAGACACTTCTGAGCCTTTACAAACAGGCCATTGGATGTAATGGGGATGAGTGTGCATTTGAGAAAACGCAGAGTCTTTTATTTAAAAAGTCATCATTTTCCTTTTTGGCTGGTAATTGCCAATGTACTTTTCTATCCATCAGCCCACTTCAACAGTAAAGACCCTCACTCAGCATGCAGCTGACCCAGACAATGTCTGCTTACCTCCACAGGATGAGCTAAGTCTAATCAATACAAAGAACTTTCCAATGGTTTAGATGTGATGGGAAACCACTTCAAGTGATTAAAGAAAATTCTTGGCTTTGGTAACAGAAATTTCCTAAAGCTTTACATCAGCTTCCATTTTAGTAAAAAACAAATCTGATTTTCACATTTGCAGACAAATGTAACACTAAAATACGTGGATTAGTAATGGGAAACTAAAGTTGTGTGGTTTTAAAAAAAACAAGTGGTTTTTAGTTTGATGCTCTCCCTCACAATATAAAAATGGACCAAATACCATATGCTAAGGCCAGAAAGCAACACTCAGCTGGCACTGCTCTCTTAATAGTGCTATTTCTTTTTTTTTTAATATATTTTTATTTGAATTTTGAATTATGTGGTACAATTTAGTACAGGCTGGGATTCCTCCCCGCCCCCCCCCCCCCCCCCCGCCCAAGCTCTATTTCACTTACCTGTTGCTTGATTCTGGGGTTCCATCTAATGTAATAATTCACCCAGAGTTCCAAGTGACGCATACTGGCAACTGGATATAAAACTCGATTGAATTCTTTAGTATAGAAAGGGTTTTTGAACTTTTCTTTATTGCTATTTATCAGTGACCATAAAGAAACAGTTCTTTCTGCAACTTTCTAGAGGGAGAGACAGAGAGAAGAGCGCCTTTAGGAAATGGACACAGGTCCCAGTTTGCTTGTGTAACACAGTGCAGCAGCAGTGTGAATCACACTTTTACATTATCCCCATAATAGATCAAAAAGCTTCCTGGGCTGGTGAGCACTCACAGCCACTTAGTGATATTCACACAGCTAATGGCCTCCTTGAAAGCCACCATTTGGACCAGAACACAGGGTACAGCGTGCTGGATCATTAAGTGCAATTCACTGACCTATGGGGATTATCCCTGCCAAGCAAAATACTCCGGAACACATGGACAGTGCACTATCTCTATGACAATAAAAGTTATCACAAGATACCACTGTCTTTAAAAATGTTTGTATTGGTTAAAACCCCAAAATCTTAACTTGTATCTACTTGACTATAACTATTTGAACATAAAGTTATTTTAAATAATCACCCAGATGTTTCATGTTTTCATGTATTTGAAAATATCTCAATAAATGATATATTGAATCCTCATTTTTTAAAATTTAAAACAAATTCTTTTTGAAATCTCATTTTTTAGCTTAGTGTCTGTTCTCTCATAAATACTCACACTTTCATTGCTTTTTATTAGAGCTTTTAAACAATTTAATGTCAAATTTTGACCATAAACTAGCCAAAAAATAGGGAACTAAAAACACAATAATTGGAATTATCAGAAGTGGAATTTAGAACTCTTTTTGGTAATGGCTTCAGTAAGAAAGAGCATTAAGCTAAAACTGGATGCTAAAATGAACATCCCAAAATAAGTGACTATAGACATTTTTAAACATATGCACTTCATTAACATGAATGATACATGACAGTACAATTCTGCCTGCCTTTTCATTTTCATGTTTCTAACGCTGAAACCTAAACCATTTATTTGCACATCAGTTTCTTTTCATTTATATACATGCATACAGTTTTAAATGCCAAATAGTCTGACCAGATTTGTTACCAAAAAAAAAAAAAAAAGCACTGGCTCTCACCATTTTTCTCAGAAGCACCTGTGCTGGGTTTCCCTTGCCCAGTTTAAAAACTGTACACAGCCACTGTATATGCCATATTTTACACAGGTACACATTGTGCAATAATCAGTACAATAAGGCTAGCAAGCATGCCATAAGCACGCCTGCCACCCAGGTATCTCAAGAGAATTCCTCCCTGAGCCACTTCAAGTCCCTTCAATGCAAGCTGATTGCTTCTTGGCTTCCCCACTGCTGGTTTGAGAGTCAGTTTTCTCAAACTAAGTTATCTGCTGGTTGTCAAAAAGATTGTTTTCTGTGTATCTTTTCTCATTCTTCCTCTTTTCACCCACTATGCCCTTTAGAAAGATTGCTGTTACTGACTCTGGAGTTTGGGAGTACTTGGATACTTTAAAAGTCATTTCTACTTTTTGAAGGCAAAATTAGTAAGCATATAAGGTATCATATTCCTTTCACACCAGATCTATTCTGGTGCACCTTTGCTGGAAAACAAAACCAAACAAACTGGCATTTTTACTCACCTGTTTTTCCCGAGCAGATTCACAGTTGAGTAAGAAAGTACCAAAGCGGCAGCTATACAGGTGATCCAGAATTGTAATTAAGAATCGCTCATTGAATTCAAAAGCTGTAGGGAACTAGACAAAAACAAACAGGGACGGCATGACCGATCAGAACTGAGAACATTGGGGGGTTCCGGGGGGCACACAGCCTGCATGTGAACTAAAACTCATTTTTGGATGTTTTAATAGGGCACAGATGTTTACATAATCCTTAAAGGAATACAAAAGAACAGGAGGTAGACAGTTCACCTTTCCGTGTTTTGCCAAGTATAAATGGTGCAAGAGCAGCTGAATAAGTTTTTAGGAGTTCACAGGCTTGCGTGTAGCAATGTGACTGTAGCATATATGCAAGACAAGTTGATAATTGCGAGTTCCATCGATCCTCCACTGGGAGAGACAATATAGTTACACATCACTGGAAAAAAACCCTTTGCTATGGAAAATTCGAGACACACAAGTAGTACGAGGTGTAAAGAGGTGAACTGCCCTTGTACCAATCAGTAGGCTGCATGGTCACTATGCTTTTGTGTGTAGCTCTGCCCTAGGTTATTTTTGGAGCAAATTTCATATGATATAGCAAAATACTGGATTTAATCCTGAAGACAAGTGGCTGTTCATCTCATTTATTTCTTACCTGCTTTGACATCTGCCACACACAATCAACAAACTGGAGAAAAATTGGAGATCGGTCAGCATCTGCATGATTTTTATCACCATGACCTATACGCTGAAATTAATTGGTGAGAATAATTTATAAGTACAAAACTCAAAAAGCAAATAAGCCACAAAATGTGACAGTACACTCAGCTGGGCACCTTCTAAGCGCCACATTTCTTAGAGAGTAAACAGTTCAAAATTTCATGGAAAAATATGAAAAAAGTACACATAGATTTAAAAAAAATTTGCATCGCAATAAGCTTCATCAATTAGTTCCATTTTCCCATGAATTTTACAAAGTTACTTGAGGTGCAGGGAGACAGATACAAAGGTGCACAGAGCTGGAGTCCTCAGCCCCTCGTTCAAAGTTCAAAGGTCTCTGCGCGGCTGAGCTTCAGGCAGCTGGAGGCAGGAGCTGGGAGCCGAGCCCCACTGGCAGCTGGAGGCGGGAGCTGGGAGCCGAGCCCTGCTCTTGCACTCAGTCAGCCGTCACTGCCGCTTCCCATAGTCTGCATCCACAGTGATGGCCAAATGGCTCGGGGCATCCTAGCCATCAGCTTAACTGCCAAGCCAAATTCTGCCCCCTCCTTCTTTCAAGAAATTTCAACTTAAGCATTTATAGGCAACCTGTTTGTGTTACTTTCCAGAGAATCTGTAAAATAGTGCCAATGGATAAACATGTCTCCTGCAAAATCCTGACTAACTCAAGGCATCATGCATTTTAAGCTTGTAAAGGTTTTACCATCTCACAAATTTTATTTTAATAATCAATTCATTTATTTAATGATTAATTTTTTCAATGTCAAATGTCAGTAGTATGATTTTTAAAAATGGCTTTGTTGTTTACTTACAGATGCAAACTTATGTCCGAAACTGATCCACTCCTTTTGTACCAATATTTCAAAGCCTTCGATGCTTCTGTAGAAGCTGTCCAACATCAGCATGGCCAGCGACGTCAACTGAGCTGTCCTGTCCCAGCCGTCACTGCAGTGCACAAGCACCGAGCTTTTCCCTGAAGAAACTTTGTCCGCCACTTGAATGGCTCCCGTTAAAACAAGCTGTCCGAGAAGAAGCTGCAAGTTAGCAGGGAGCTCTAAGGTGACACTGGAGGAAGCGCCGCCTCAACCTGTCCATAACCCAAGTGCGAAGAAAACACAATGCCGACCTCTACACTCTGCTGACCTCCCTCACAGGAACAACATTCCAAAGTGCCTGGGCAGAAAAAAAAAAAAGCTGAAAACAGAAAAAACCAGACACACCCAGAAAAGAACCGCACTGAAGACGTATTTTCATGGATCTGATGACAATGGTATGGAGGGATGTCACAACTGCCTCCCAGGCGGAGGGGCTTTAGCAACTGTGGGAAGCTAGACATCTGCTGTCAGGGTCCTGGCAGGGCCACACTCCCGACAAGGCACCAGACATGGATTCCAGGCTGTCTCCTAGCCTCTGCCCCACTGTGACTGTGCCAGAGCCTGCCAGCCTTCATACGGTGTTCTCCCTATGCACCTGGCTCTGTGCTCCAACCTCACACATGTGTGAAAGACCCCTCTAACTCGAGCACAGTATCATCTCAATAATTACACGTGCAAAGAGCCAGTCTCCAAGGAAGGTCACACTGAAATATCCTGGGGGTCAGGACCTCAATATATCAATTTTCAGGACACAGTTCGGCCTGCAAGAACGATCACGTAAGAGACATTGGCCCAACAGATCTAGCCCTGAGCCTTAAAGGCCTGACGCAAGGGGCATTAACTTTAAAATGATGAAACATGAGAGTACTTCAAAAAGTCTGTGGCATGAGAGGATTAAAAGATAGATTATGTTCATCTGAGAATTTCTAAACCCATGCATACAAGGTCAGCAACTTATTTGTGGAAAATGCATATTATAAAAAACTATACATAGATTTCAAATTTTTTTGTACTAAAGTAAATCTATCTCATCTAATTTTTTTCATGAAGCTATTCTTGTATGAATTCTGATTTGGCTTAAAAGTCACAGAACACCTACTCTAATGATAAAGTGATCACCTTCTATTAAAAATTTGAGATAAGTACCACTAAATTTATCACTCCAAAAATGATTATTCTAATATAATTTTTTGATAATTCAGGTATTTGTAGACGTACGTGACAACAGACTCTACCCATAAGTGTGCAGTTTTAAAAGATTTAGTACTTTTAAAGACGAATTTCTATTTGAGAAGTAAGGTTGAAGGAGGGAGGGAAATAGCTTTTATCTGTTGGTTCACTCCCAAGGCCCACTACAGGCAGAACGGAGGCTAGGTAAAGCCAGGAACATAAACCCCCATACCAGTCTTCTGCATGAGTGCTAGGAACCCCAATAACCAGGCTGTGTACCAGTAGGAAGCTACGTAAAAAATGGAGGCGCACGGGCTGGAAGGGACACTCTGATATGACAGATGCATTGCAAATGTTGCGAAGTACTGTGTTGAGCACGTATCCCAGACTTCATAAATTCATACGGTTGTGCAATCACAGACACCCAGTTGTAGAGTGCTCCTAGCGCTGTCTCAGGCCAGTCTCTGATCCCACCCTCAGCCTAGGCAACCAGGGATTTATTTCCTGTCTCCCTAGTTTAGCCTTTAATAGAAACTTTGCATAACTTTACATAAATATCTTCTCATAATTAAACTGTCTTAATCAATTCAAAGAAAAGTCTAACCAAGCGAAAGATGTGATACGCAGCACATTTTTCAAGAAATGTAACTTCCTTGTTTTTACAGTAATAGCAACTAAATAAAGATAAATGAGCAAAACAGTGCTCAGAAGGAAGGCAGCTACAGGATGTGAGGACTGGCCCTTGCACAAAACTCACTGCTTCTAAAAGCTAGTGCAGCTTGTTTCCTCAAGCATGTCAGGTGTTACCCTTGCCATCCTGTTTGTAATTCTAACTTGAAGCGCTTCTGGAGAAAGGGCACAAGTCTAACCCAGTGAAGTTGAGGCTCTACCACACTCTCCAGAGGGTCACTCTCAACCCAGACACTTCCTTCACTTTTGATAGAAAAGACACTGATTCTTGGTCATTTTTTTAAAGATCTCTTTTCAAATGAAGAATTTTCATAATCACTTCTGAAGGGATCAGCTAAACAATTACCTAGTAGAACAAAATTGGATTTTCAAAAATACATCACTGAAAACTCTTCAATAACCTGGATGGAGTGATAATCTATTGGACTTGTCACCAAGGAGAGGAGACAGCAGCTGCTCAACAGCACACAAGGCCATGGTTAAGGTCACTGGCCCTATGACCAAATGCCTGGGCTTGCAACTGCAGTCCATCCTGTCTGACATCTCTTTGTGGGCCCATTATGCAACGAGAGTTGCTCTCTTGAATGTGAAGAGAGGAGCGGTACCTATACCAGCTTGTCTTGAGCTAAAAGATAAACCCTATAGAGTACTAAAACACCGAGCATATGTTCAATGCATGCTTGCAGCCAGAGAGCCAGCCAAGCAGCACAGATTGATTTGTCACTTCATGAAGCACTAGAAGGGAAGGATACTGAAAAGCACAATGATAAAATGTGAGTGGCAGGGCCCGGCGCGGTGGCGCAAGTGGTTAAGTCCTCGCCTTGCACGCCCGGGATCCCATATGGGCGCCGGTTCTAATCCCGGCAGCCCCGCTTCCTTTCCAGCTCCCTGCCTGTGGCCCGGGAAAGCAGTCGAGGACGGCCCAAGGCTTTGGGACCCTGCACCCGCATGGGAGACCCGGAAGAGGCTCCTGGCTTCGGATCGGCATAGTATCGGCCCGTTGCGCTCACTTGGGGAGTGAATCATCGGATGGAAGATCTTCCTCTCTGTCTCTCCTCTCTGTATATCCGCCTTTCCAATGAAAAAATAATAAAAATAAATCTTTAAAAAAAAAAAAAAAAAAAATGTGAGTGGCAGACATCACAGGGTTCTTCCATCCTACTGGGGCTGTTGGGGTGCTGGAGTGAGGACTAGGGAGGCATCTGGACGGTGCAGGTCTTCTCACTGCAAAAGGCTTGCCCTGATTTTACTTATGAAGTGGCGGGACCATTTCCCTAGCACGCAGGTGCCACGTCTTTATCAAACAGCCCGAGTGCTTGTGCTCAGCTGGGAATTTGTGACGACTACTACCCTGTATGACAATGAGGACTTCTCTGAAGCAATCAGATGAATGACTTCAAGATGGGGACACTAAACTGGATTACCCATCAATCACATCATAAGGATTCTGATACGAGTCAGACAGAAGATGAGAAGGCAATGTGATCACAGAGGCAGAGGTAAATTGAGGCAGGAACTGGAAGAGGCAAGGAACAGATTCTTGCCCCACAGTTTTCTGGGGGAGTGAGGGACCAATTGTCTCATCTACTCTAAATCCAAACTACTGACACATGTTGGCTCCCCTGCCCACATGGCTGCTGCCTCTGGGCTTCTAGGTGTCCTGAGGAAACAGTAACAGCTTTCATTTCTTTTGTGTTCTCCTCACTATGGATAAAAGTATAGAACCTCCCAGGGCCTTACACAGCACTGTCCTTTTCCCTTCAGTCTACTCCCATCTGCAGATGCCTTTGCCCGCTGGATCCCTCAGGTGCCTGGGCTGCTGGATGAGACCCTACCTTTCTCCAGCCTCTTCCTAATGCCTGGCTCCTGCTAGGAGCTCAGTGGACCTGCTTGCTAGACACCACCAAAGGATGGCTCACTACCACCTCAAATGCACAGTATTTCCCTTGGTCAATGTCCCCATCTGGTTTACTCTTTATCCTCAAAACAGTGGCAGCATTTTGTCAGCTAGGCTCACACTCCTGGCTTCACTTTGTATTTCTTTACATCTACGTCTAGCCATCACCAAATGGCACAGACTCTTCCTTGGAAACACCTGACTCCCTTTCAGCGTCTCCTGGCCCCCATACTGGCAAGATTTGAACAGAGGCCATTATTCTCCCTTCTTCTCAGCATTCTCAAAAGGGCTCTGCTTCCTCTGACTTCACATTCTTCCCTCTATTATCTAGGAAGCTATCACAATAGTTCCCTAAAATATGTTGCTATTCTACATCCTCTTGGGGCTCCTCACTGCCTCCCTTGACCAGCAACGCCACTGATTGCTTAACCCTTTCCCAAACCTCTAGGTTGACCTCTAACTACAAAGATATTCACCTTGGTCAGTCAGCCACATCCACATCCACCTCTGGCTTCTGACAAGGCCATTCTCTTTTTCCAGAATACAATCTCCTGTCCCTTCAATTTCTACAAGAACCAAATCAAGTCCCACCAAAGGGCAAAGTATCTGTTCCTTCCAGCAACTAAAAAAGCCCTCTTGGGTATGTAACACAGTGTCCTTTGAATAGTATGTTTCTTTTCTTTTTTTAAGATTTATTTTATTTTTATTACAAAGTCAGATCTACAGAGAGGAGGAGAAATAGAGAGGAAGATCCCCCATCCGATGATTCATTCCCCAAGTGACTGCAACGGCCGGTGCTGTGCCGATCCGAAGCTAGGAGCCAGGAACTTTCTCCAGTTCTCCCACATGGGTGCAGGATCCCAAAGCATTGTTTTTCCCAGGCCACAAGCACGGAGCTGGATGGGAAGTGCAGCACCGGGATTAGAACCAGCGCCCATATGGGATCCCGGCACGTTCAAGGTGAGGACTTTAGCTGCTAGGCCACACTGCCAGGCCTGAATAGTAAGTTTCTTTTTGAACATATAAAGCATTCCTTCAACCAAACATGAACCTCTTTAAGGCCAAGAAATACATCTGAAAATGTTTCCCTATTCACAGTCTAACATGTCATACACACCAAAAGCTTGTAAACCCCCCCAACACTTGTTTTGTTTTCATCATGTAACACTTTTTTTCTCCAAATTTGTGTTTTATTTTAGATAGGTTTTAGATTTATAGAAAAGTTGCAAAGGTATGCTGCATTTGTTAGAATGAGTGAACCAAAACTGAAGCAGTATTAACTTACTAAAATCTATACTTTGGTCATATTTTCTAAGTTTCCCTAAAGTCCTTTTTTCTGTTCCAGGATCCCATGCAGGAGACCACATTACAGTTAGTCATGACTATATATTTCTCCAATTCATTTTTATGATAATTAAGGAAAAATGGCAGAAAAAATAATATGACTCACATCAAGTTGGAAAACAAAAGATGAATAGATTAATATGTCTTAATAATTCACCTATGTAATGCTGGCTTTGCTTATTTACAGAATGAAAAGGTTTTTAAAAGCATTATTTCTTTTAGATAGCTTCCAGTACTTTAACTTTGAAAAGAAATTAGGATTTCTGGTATCTTCAGGACGAAAGACTGAGCAAAACCCACAAAACCCACGCTTTAAGACAGTCTGAGATCAGTTTCCAATAGGCCACTCTCATCTAGGCTGTGGGGGGGTCATCCGCAGGAAGGTTGGATAATAAGTTGACTACTCCTAAATAAACCTGCATGAAGGACAATATGACTTACCATGACAAGATGAAACGAGAAATGTCTCCAAGCTCTAAAAACATGCTGCAGTAATAGTGTGAGCTCTTTAGGCAAGTTATAATGAAACGCCCAACTGTCAAATGTAGTCATCTACAAATAGTTTATCTTTCAGTGTTCAATTTTTCAATACATGAGGAATTTCTAATCCTGTTCCATTACTTTTTCACATACTCACAAATCTCAAAAGTACATATATACATACACATGTTCATATACTTGCCTTGATATGTTCAAGCCAATGAGTAGACTCCAAACTTGACAACCAATGAGATTCTTCTACATTAGGATAAACAATGTCTTTGACCTTTTTTAAAGATTCCCGCATAACATGAATATTGTGAATGTCCAAGAAGAAAAGTTCAGCATTATGATATGCATCATCACTTTCATATCCTCCTCCTGTTGCCTGAGAAATAACAAGATAGACAACAATAAGTCAGATTGTCTATTTTATTGGGAACTTACATAAATGTTTTGAAAGTTATTTGTCTTTCATATCTTAATCCAAACCCTCTAATTTAAATAAACCATTGATATGACCTCTATTCAACATTAAGCCCCTATGACATTATTCATACTTTGAACTGGAAAGAAGATGGAAGGCTGGAAATTTCCTGGGGAATTTATCTCTGTGAAAGGAAAAAAAAAAAAAAACAAAAAACAAAACCCTCGGTTTCAAAATACCCTACAATTACTGGCTCTCCTCTTGGATTTGGAAAAGCAAGAGTATGTTCTAAAAGGTCATCCTCCTCCATCAATTTCATAGTCAATATGCATTCCTTAAGGGAGCAGGCATCCCCTGTTTCCTAACAATACTCTTAGAGAACAGGAAGTGTTAGAGAAAAATCACAGGCTTTGCAGTCAAACAAGCCCAGGCCAACAGCTCTGCGCCGGCCTCTCTGCACTGTGTGAAGCAGGGCAAGGCGTGTAACCTTTCTGAGTTCCAATGTCATCAGCTGCAAAACAGGAGATAATACTACCTAGTCACACAGGATTAAAGCAGCCAGACTCCATTAGAACAGCTAACATCAGTCACCACCTGATGAGCTCCTGTGATGGCCCGGAACTGTGATTCTTGCTTGACCTAACTTAACCCTTGGAGTGACACTGCATGATAGGTATTTACTAGTCCCATTTGCAAATGACAAAACAGAAAGTCTGCTTAAGTATCCAGATATCCCAGTAATGGGTGGAATTCAAGTCTGGTCCGCTTTCAGAGCCTGAAGCTTTCCTTTACAAATATATTTATTTGAAAGGCAGAGTTACTGAGACACAGAGATCTATCTGCTGGTTTACCCCTGGAATCGCCACAACGACCATGGCTGGGGTCACACAGAAGCCAGAACCAGGACCTTCTTCCAGGTCTCTCATTCAGGTACAGGAGGCCAAGCACTTTGGCCATCTTCTTTTTTTCCACAAATAGCAGCAGGGAGCTTGATCAGAAGTGAAGTAGCCAGGGCTTGCACTTTAGTAGGTCTACCCGGCTGAACCTGTGACTGTCTGGAGACACCGAAGAGGAAATCTGTACGTACTGAGCCCTCAAAGAATCAAAGGGTTCAAGTGGAGACATGCGCAGTGCCTCCAAGCAGCAGCGTGTCACAGTAGGCACGGGTTCACTCCCCACCAAGGTGAGGACTGCCCGTTTGCTACATCAACACAAAGAGATGGCATGCTTCAGGAATCTGGCAGTGTTCTGTGTCCATGTTCCAAAACGCCCATGGCCCTTTAAAATAAAGTTAGACAGCTCTGAGACCTGCAAAGAAACCAACCTCGGAGTGCTGGTAGGAAGGAAACAGGGAAACACCTGCCTGAGAGCCAGGAGGAAAGGGGAAGTTAGCAGACAAATGTGTAGTGGCTGCCTGCCTGTGTCCTTTTCTTTTTAACAATGGAAGGAATGTAAACTTGTATCCAGGGCTGGAGGACCAAAACATGCGAGGCTTGTTTTCCTGGGGTTAGTCACAAAGAAGGCTTCCTGCAGAAGTAAGGCTATGACATGAACTGCAAACCCGGAGATCTGCATGGGGAGCCCGAGGCATCTCCAGAGTTGAGGGGAGAAAAGCATACCCAGGCAGAACTTTCCACACAGCTTGCTGTAAGTAGCAATAGAAGTGAACAGGCCACAAAAAATTCACTTTGCTGTTCTGAAAACAAAATTATCAGCTCAGAAATAAGCAGGCAAGCGGGCCATCTTCCCCCTCGTCCCGGTTCTCCATGCCGTGCAAGAACATCAGGTGTGCCCTGTTCAACTAGTAAGCTGCCCCCAGCGCTGGGCTGGTGTGGGGTGAGCCTAGTCCAGCAGCATGCTGTGAGGTAAGGGCACACGTCACCCGCCTGCTGCTCTGCAAAGGGGGCTTTTAAATAGTTACAGTGACTTTCAGTTTTTTTCATACTGGAGTTCATCTCATAAATAAATAAAAATGAAATGTGACAAAAATGAAGGAAAATACGTTTTCATTCATTGTCAACATTTCTGAAAAAAAAAAAAAACACACTAAGAAAGTTCCACCTTAAAGTTCCACAAAAACAGAGGCAGCCTGGTACTATGTCGTTTCGCCACCTGGCTCTTCCTGTTTGTCTAATGTAAAAAGATGTGATGCCGCCTGGTGCATCTGTGGTTGTAAATTTCTAAATATCCGCAAGGCAGAAACAATGAGGTCCAAAGACAACAGAAGGCCGAAAAGGTAAAAGTCAATTCATCAAGCATAGACCGAACTCCCCCAAATTCAAATTCTCTCTCTCTGGTTACTTTACAAGAATTCTCTTTAGTTTCACCTTCTCCAACACAGATGACCCGGGGCCATAATGTACAAGACCAGGGACTGTTGCTATGGCTATAGATGACTACCGCAGTGACCCGGCGAGCCGAGAGGGGATGTCGGCAGTCTTTACAACAATGACTCAGATCTGTAAGGCTTTTCTCCTTCACATTATCCTTCCTGTCATTCCGAGCAGCATTAGAAATAAAGACTTAATTCTCCAGTCTTAAAAAGACATTCAAAATACTACAACTTTGCAGTTTTTGAATTCTACCTTTGCTATAATGAGTGTTAGAGCTAATATAATTAAGGTATTCATTTCACACATTTGTATATTTTAAGATATTCTTTCAAGATACTTCAAATGAATGTTACCTCGTATCTATTTCAGGCTAAATATTGTGTTTATACATGTACTCACGCTGAATTACATATAAAGGACAATAGGCACAGAATCCTGGTCTGTAGAGTGAAAATAATCCACGAGGATAGACATTTTTCCTAAGTATTTTACTTATAATTAATTGATTGAAGTTGATGATGGCTTTCCATGTATTTTCACAATTATTTCTAAAGCATACCCAACTGTGGGTACAGACAGTCCAAGAGCATGCCTGGGGCAGACGGAAGTAGGCCAGGATTCAAGGTGTACGATGATGAGCCCTGTGCAAATAAGGAAGGGCCGCGCATGCGCGCTCTCACAAAGGTCTGGCACACCCTGCATGTACATGTCATGGGCCCCACTCAGGAAGCCCTGAAGCTATTTCAGCTGCTCAAGGAATTGCTTTCCTTTCAGGTTCTTGTGTTGTGAATAACTGAAGAGGCCAGATAAATGACCTTGGGATAATGAAGAATCAAAGACAATGAAATGGAAGCTGACAGCTGATGAGAAACAACACAGCCAAGACATATGAGGCAGGCCCCGTGAGCATTTGTAAGTGGCAGCTGCCAATCACAGAAGACAAACAGCACAAAGGAGAAAAAGAAGGCAAGATGCTCACCAACCTGAGGCCACCAATTTTATACGAGAGTACTTCAGGAAGTTCATGGAAAAAGGAAATGCAATAAGATATGCTTATTTTGATTCCCCATATTTGGAGTCCTTGCTAGTCTTTTCACATACACCTTTTCTGTGAACTTTTCGAAGCTGTTGTATTCCTAACAGCAGCTTCCTAAGATGCTACCATGTGCGCCCAAGGTCCGCAGTGAGACTCCTCAGCAGCATCGAGTGCACTGGACATATTCTGCTTAGGAAGGCAAAAAGACAGTAGAGGCAGACTTCTCTGAAAGCTTTAGATTTTTTGTGTACATGTATTTATGTGGTTGAAAAACTTACATATATGGATAGAGCCATTTCTTGAATTACATTATCTAAATGAGGATACAGACTTATGAGTACATAGGGTATGAAGGAATAGCTGTTTAGGTAAGACTGTACACCTAGATCTGTAATAATTGCTGTTTCCCACAGTTCTTTACAGATGTCTCAATATTGCATACATGAAAGCAATCAACCAGAATTGACTGAAATCGAAAGAAATTTTACCTTCTGCCAAAATCTGGCCAAATCTCAAGCTCATTACTGCTGTAGACATGTCTACTTAAAGTTTATATTCATTTGATTGTAATGTTTTCACTTTCTGCTTAAGATATTTTACGGTAGTTACTTCATAACTAAGGAAGTTCATTTACTTAAGTGTTAATTTAAATCCATGTGTTGATATGCCAAGGCAGAAACATTCATAGAATGCTTTACAAAGTCCATATGTAAGCTGATTTTCTACAACATTAGTAGTGAAACCACCTACCTTGTTGGCCACAGCATTTACACTAGGTCTTGCATCATAAATTGTGAGCTTAGAAATCTGTCTGTTAGTTTCCCTGATGACGTCGAGATACTTCTCATCATCCTTATTCCGTTTACCACTCATACCAACAAGAGGCTGGCTGCAGCGCACGATGACCATTTTGTTTTCAGGATGAATCCAGGAGAGCACCTAGGGTTGGGTCAGACAGTTGGAGCTAGCAGGAACCAAGTCTTATGGAAAGCACACAAATAGAAAGCTTTACCATTCACAAAGTGACTGAGTATGGTATAACAGAATCCTGTCCACTTGCAGCTTCACTGCCTGTTCACCCAGTCACAAGTACTTTAACAACTATGGCTACTCAAACACACCCAGCATAATCAACTGCTCTACCAGTGTTTTCCACTTTAAAGCATTTGTTTATTTACTTATTCGAAATGTAAAGAGAAAGGCAGAGAAAAACAGGGAGGGAGGGAGAGATGGAGGGAGGAGAGAGAAGAGAGAAGACTGACTATGTCCTCACTCCACAAATGCCTGTAACAGCCAGGAGCTCCATGCAGGTCTCCCATGTGGATGGCAGAGGCACAACCACTTTCCCAGGCAGAGTGGCAGCAAATCGGGACTCAGCGTGGTACTCTGAGATGCAGAGGTCCTGAGCAGCAGCGTAGCCTGCAGCATCACAAGACCATCCTGACTTTTTCCTTGACACCATAACTAATAGAAATTAAATGCTTACCTAGAAAAGTGATACCACTGAAAGGAAACAGAACTCATATTTTAATTTTGTAGCTTGTACTGGATTTTTAAAAACTATATGTGAGTAAATTTATCAAAAAGTGAAAGGCAAAGGCAGTTATCTTGTAAGACCAGCTCGCATCCAAAGGTCATATCTTCAACAGTCTCAATTGCAGAAGCAAACACAGGAGGGCAGAAAACTCAAGGCAAGGGCACGAAGCAATCCCAGCCTGTCAGAGGAGCTACCAGGCTCCAGGATGACACCTGGCCACATGAAGGCTGCGAGGGTGCGTTATGCCTTTGCTGAGACACTGTGCTCTCCAAGTTACACATGCATGAGTCAGCATGGCTGCCGCCTGGGTTCTCAGCTCACAGCATGTGAGAAACCAACATGGGAAGCAAAGCTAACAAGGTCACATTCTCAAAACTACCAAACTGTGAGCTTGAGATGGGGAACTGCTCAGTATGTGAAAGTCTCAGAAAATAACACAACCAGGAGGGAGGAGCTGTCCAAAGGTTCAGCGCTGGGAAGCCCTGGGCAAGGGCCAGACCTAGCCTCCCATCTACAGCTCCAAGCAGTGCCCTGCCCCTTCCTCTGGTGGTCCTGGATCAAGAGGATCTCCCAGAGAAGATAGAGTGGTTCACATGCAAGAGATTTACTATTTAAGAGAGACTCTCAGCAAGGGTTTTGTTTTTGTTTGTTTGTTTGCTTTGTTTTTTGCATTTCCAACCCAGTTTTTAAAAAAGTTGTTGATATATGATAACTATACTTGTTTTTGGGAATATGGTGTGGCAATTCAATAAGTGTGATTATAGTTCCAAATTATTATTACTTTATCCTTGTACTCTTCAAGTATCTCGCCTCTACTTACTCCATTTTGAAATTTTCAGTTTTATTTATTTGAGACGGACTGGGAAAGAGAAGAAAGAGGGAGAGAGGGACAGGAAAAGAGAGAAAGGGGAGGGGAGGGCAGTTGGGAAGGGAGAATGTAGAGTAGGAGGGCACTGGGAGAGGCGGGGGAAGGCAGGCAGTGATGGAGTAAGAGCTATTCTATCTTTTGGTTTACTCCCTAACTACCTACAATAGCCAAGAGCCACAAACTCCATCTGAGCTGTCCACATGGAGGCTGCAACCCAAGTACTTGAGCCATCATCTTCTGCCTCCCAGGAGCATTGGGAAGAAGGTGGATTGGAAGCAGAGCCAGGACTCAACCCCAGGCACTCAGATTTAGCAGTGCAAATCCAAAGAAGTGGCTTGAGCCATGCACCACAATGGTCACCAGTTTTACATTAAGAGTCAGGCTACATGTAAAAAACAGTCCCCTGATAATGCGCTCTCCATTTCCACCTCTTCTCTCTATGGTGCCACATTAGGAAATGCCACTCAGATCGGTTGTTTTGTCTCATCTCTTTTCCTCTGGGAAGATTTCTTACTATTCTTTATATAGAATACATATTGTAATGCCTAACACATGCAAATAATGCGCTTTTCACAGTACCTACTATAATGAGTGCTTTTCAAGTATATAGTAATATATTGCTCTTACTAAAAAAACACACACACACAGAAGCTACAGATAATGAAAGCTCAACACAAAGATTTAGTCATCAAAAGATGTTTATCACAGAATTGTTTGTGAATGCTAAAGATTAAAAAGGATCCAGGTGTCTCACAATAGAAGGCTGATTAAATACATCACAGTACATTTACACACTGGCATGTGGGCAGATCAGATTCATCAGCATGGATAGTTGTGTATCAGATACTGTGAGGTAGAAAAGTAGGTGGTGAAATTAGATTCAGTTACAAATGATAAATTCATTCTCTCCTTTTGACCAGGTCAATAAATAAATGCATGCACGCGCAGAGGGAGTGTGGAGGGCTGGAGGGCTGGGTACCACAATGTTAACACTCGCTCTCACTAGGTGGCAGACTCAGTTTGTTTATCAGTATTTTCTAACATGTCCAAAAAGAGCATGCATTACTTATGCATTAAAGAATTCCATGAAATTAAAACAAGCCTGTTGGAGAACAAAGGGATATGTATCCACCAATGGAATCATTAATGCATGTGGATTATTTCATTATCCAAATGGGATTTTATTATGGTTTGTACCTTATTTACATACAAAATAAGATCTTTCTCATCAACTACTTTCTCTCTTCATAGGGGCTTAAAAAAGAGCTATCGAATGTTAATGATCTCACATTAAAGGCACATGCACTTCCCAGGTGTAAGAAAAGCTCTGAGAGTTCTAGTCAAAAGTCAGGTTAGTAGAAGCTATGCTGGAAAGGACAGATTACCCCACTTACTAACTTATTTACAAATACCTGGAGTCTATGGATAGCTTAGCTTCGATGTTTTTAAGGAAAATTAAGAGGAAATCGGTGGCTATCACAGAGTGCAAAAATTCTATAAAATAACCAACTAGAAAGTTAAGCAGTTTAATTTGCTCTGTGGTGGATTTTCATGCCTTCTCGGTGCTGAAGATCAGGGCAGTGTGCTGAGCACAGAGGCCTAGGCTCACTTGTTTCATTTCTTCTCCTGCCTCAAATCACATGAAATTCAAATGCACACAGAGAGTGAGAGAGAGAGAGAGAGAGAGAGAGAAACCTCTAATACAGTAACTAGTCAATACATACTGAGGAAATGATGAAGTAAACAACATCTACCTATTCTAACCTAACCCACTTCTCCTGCAGGCAAGGCATCTGCTGGCAAGACAGCTGGCCAGGGTAGGGGCAGACTGTGGCTCGGAGAAATAAAAACATGTCTGAACAAGTCCTGAGGCCCGATCTGTGAGCACACCTTTGTTAGCATGCTGTTCTCATAAAAGGAGCTAAAGAACATCCTTTCATGGCCAACAAATATCACGAAGATATGAACGGACGTCATAATTAGAAAAGCAAGTGCATATTGTACTAGGCTGACAGCATTTCAAAATCTCTAATAGCCCTTTAATGATAGGAATGCCAGGACTAGAAAGTTAAAGGCAAAGCAAAATTGAGTCTTAATTTCTTCAACCTTTGATGTTAAAATTCTATTTCTTTGAAAGAAAATCCCTAATTCCCAATGTACTTATTATGGCAGATTCTGAAACATAAGAGAGGAACAAAATAAAATTCTACATTTTTGGCCAGTAAAACTTGTGCACAGAGTAGATAGCACGGCATGTCCGTAAACACTGGAGGCTCAGACGGGAACTTGGTGAACTGGGTTCAGTGAAGCCTAATTAGGTACACTGTCTGGAATGAGTCTGCATGTGGCTACAGTTTGATAAGGGTGTTGAGGCAGCTTATCAATGTGACAATAATGTTGAGTGTATGTACAACCTGTACTGACACACTCAATCACGTCCTCTCTGGTAGGTTCCACTCGACATTTGTCAAGAGCCTGTCACATGTCACATATTAGGCCACAAAGGTGAACACCACAAAGAGACTGGCCCTCCTTCCACACATCCAGCACGAGTTCATGTCTGGTGGCATTACTCAGTTTGTGATTGTAAGTACCTGGCAGACAGACTTTGGGTCATCTGACCACCATTCTTACAGAACAAATGTGCTTTAGAGAGAAACGCTAATGGCAGTACTCACTGGGATTCGGTTTCGGGATCGAAAAGCTGCGACTCTCCTGAGGTCATCATCTGAGGCCCGGTATGGAACCACCAACAGGGCAGGGTAAGTCTCACAGAGTTCATAGCACTTGTTGATGAAAGTTATTCTCCATTGGTGATTAGGCAAACCCTGCAGGATTACAAAAGAAAGAAAGAAAGAAGGAAAGCCCAAGTCTGTATTGCATGATTTCATCTCTGGCTTTGACCTTGGGCCTGTCTTCTTTCTAGGAATATATGCACATGCCTCTGAGCATGGGATGCTGACTGCCCACCTATTCGTAATAAGGGTGCCAAATAAATAATTCAGACAACGTAAGAACACGAGACAAAACATTGGTGGCTCCCACAACTCTAAACTATCTTTTGCAAATTCAGATTCTGTTAAATTTGAGAATCTTCCTTATTTCATGTTAACATATTCTTTAGCACTTGTATGCAGGGTCTTCAAAAAGTTTATGGAAAATGTATTATGGGAAACACTGTGCATGAATTTCAAAATGTTTTGTACTAAAATAAATCTTTTTGCTCTATTTTCCACAAATTTGTTGAAGTACTCAAGTTCAATGCAAATAAACCCAAGTTCATTCCCTACCCATGCACCCTCCCATGCCACAGAAAGGTACCTTACAAAATCTTAAACTGGGTCTAAGTGAAGGTAGAAAAGATACCAGGCAACTTTCTCTTACTACGCCAAATAGAGTGACTATTTCATTCTGTTCCAAGTGGAACTGCTGCTGAGCTCATGAGGAAAGTTACAGAGGGGAAATAAAGGAAGACCCCTCTGGGGAGGCTCATTTCGCCACCTCCGATGAGTTTGTTGAAAATCAAGTTGTGGGGGAATGGATGGTTATCTTATAGGTAGTGTGAGAAGCACATCCGTTTGTTTTTAAGCAGAACTTTAAAGTAACTGGGAGATCCAAAATGCATCCCCCAGCCTATCATGTGCCCACAGAATTGTTTCCAGTAAGGTCTAGATCCAGAGGTGGTGGAATATTCTCTCCCCATACTCACAAATGCACAAATACACACATGAACGTGAGCTATGTGGGTGTTTGCTGTGGGGACAGACATTGTACCTTTTCTTTAGGTCTGGCCTTATAGACCACGGACCAAACAGATGTTGAGTCTGATGCTGAGTCCAATTAGAGAGTTATAAGTCCCATCAGAAAGTTATAAGAAAAAAAGATTGGATATAATGGCAGTCTAGAACATAATACCTACAATAGTTCATATATGCATGCAATTTTAAAAACAGGAACTGTTCTGTTTCAACCTAAAAGTTTTAAACTAAAGGCCCTAATATTGTTAACACTGCAAAAATAAGGTAAAATACTTTAATGCATAATGTTACAGATCTCTGAAACATGCAAAATGATTTTAATGATCCTTCTCTCAGCCGTGTAGCTGGTCAGGATCAAAGGTCATTAAAACAAGAGGTAAACACAGACTTTGAAAACTTCACACTTCTAACCCTGGTCTATGCAAGGAGCTGGACGCACTGCCTCCTACATGTGTTCTAGAGCTAAGCCTCTGTACCCCAAGTTCAGGTCACCAAATCTTCTTATTGAATATGAAAAGTACTGATCTAACACTAAAAATAGAAATCAGGCTCACGATGGGGGTGACAGTTACTAGAAGATTCTTCTCCAAAGTTAACATCCACTGTCTTTCCATATAAACTAGGTTTCATTTTCAAAGTTCATTGAACAACACTTCCCAATGAGTTAAAGAGTTTTGCAGAATAATAACTATAAATAATTCTAGCTGTCTTACAGATCTGGTTACAAATCATGGTTGTTACTATACAACATGCACAGATCCTCTTCAGAGAAACTACAGGAGACTCTATTGCTGAACAAGAACTAAGCATCTTGCCATTATTACAGCAATGAAACATGCACGTAGATGAAGCCCATGTAAGAGAACAGTAAAGGAAATCATGATCTCTACTTGTCAAAGCTTCCCTGGAAAAGACACTGGTACAGGAAAACAGTCCTAACTCATCTGACTCTGCAAACTATGATGAATACTGTTTAAAACTGTTAGTTAAGTTCCAGAAAATGCAAATTAGTAATCAACCCCTAAAAAATTAGGTATAGAAGTGTGATTTTTCTAGACCTTCAGTGTTTAATTCATAAACAACACAAGCCAAACAGTCTTCATATAAGAAACAGAACTTAGCTGTCCAGCTTTTCAATACAGTTTGAATATGGTTATGGAATGACCATAAACGTCATATATTGAGAGAGAATGAGCTGTACCACACACATGTGGATAATACCACTGCCATCCCAAAGGTGCAGCAAGGATGTAACTGATTTTCTGAGACTATGAGTGATGATACAATGTCACAGTGCATTTTCCACTGATTACACAGCAGGCAGTACTGTCAGCTTACCTGCCTTCGGTATTCCTCCACTGGATTATAAACCATCCATCCATCGACATTAAACTTTTCTTCATTTAAGAATGCAAAGAGTGGCTGAAAAGGACAAAAAAATTAAAATCCAATGTGAAGGTACAGTCTATTAATGGCAGAACATTCTTCGCTTTTTCACAAAATAAATTGTACCAGATTTGCCAACCATGAAATTATAAGACCCAGAACAAAGAAATAATAATGGAAGATTCAGCCAGCTCTCCCACTAACTTCTACTTTGAGCAATAATTATGTTTGAAACTTCAATTTCCTACAAATAGTAGTATTTCTTTAAAAAAATGATGCTCCACAAAAACTTTGATTTCTGGGCCAAAGAGTATCTATCAGTTAAAAACACTATTTGGAATTGATTAGGTAAAAACCACCTCAAAGAGAAAGAGAGAGAGAGGGAGAGAGAGAGAGAGAGAAACTCAGGAAGGGTTATTAAATAGGGCAATTGTCTCAAAAGGGAACAGCATGCTTCTGTAAGTGGAGACAGAGTACTGGGGAAACTCTTAACTGTTCTGTGACTTGGGAACCGATGCCCTGGTCTCTATGCTATGATGGGATGCGGACTCTCAGCCCCTTGCCTGGCTCCTGTTCGAGGTGTACCTTAAGAACATGCTAGTGACTAGCCAGCTCTGTGTTCTGGCATACCCTAGGAAGTTCATGTGATTACTTGGGTGTTTTCTGCACAACTCCATCAGACTGTCTAGCAGGGAGACACAAACACTGAAGTTCACCAACCCAAAGACAAACCCTTGATTTCCATTAACCAATTCTGTTCTCCCACAGGGTTCTCATTTAAATTGATGACAGCTTCATTCTTTCAGTGGATGGAGAAAAACATCCTTGGAATCATCCTGGTTAGCACCCTGTGACACCTGCTTGTTGCAACTACTCGCTAAGTGCCCCCATGCTCATTTTTCTGTCTCCTATGTCAAAATAATGACATCACAGCAGTAAGTCAGATCAGGCCACTCCCTGCTAAAATCTTCCTCTGACTTTCCAACTAGCTTGGAGAAAAAGCAGAAGCCCTCCCAATGGCCTATGCAGCTGTCATCTGGTCTCCACCTCTACCACATCTCTGCTCTCTGCCTTGCACTCCCCTAAAGCCACACTGTCCTCCTGTGCCACTGCCTAAATGCATCAAGCTTTTACCAGTGACAGGGCCTTGGCACCTGCTTTTCCATGGGCCTGGGTTTCTTTAACCTCATGACTTCCTCTTACTTCTTGGAAATCCTGTGTAACCTGAATCAAAGAGGCCTTTCCTGGCACCTTATAGAAACTTGCTACTCCCAAAATAACATGCCCTATTGTCCTTCTCCTGTTTTTTCTCCCTTGATGTACATGTATAAGCATACTTCTAAAAGTTTGTGCAAAGAAGTAATTAAAAGGTAAGTTTAGTGCAAAAGGGATCTTTGAAAAGTCTCTAGAAAACATGTATAATGAAAAAAATAGGGATTTCAAATTTTGCTGTGCCAAAAATTAACCTATTTTTTTTTAATGTGTTCATCCTCACTTTATTTGACCAGCAGGTAGACAGAGTAATTGCCCATCTGTGGGCTCATCCCCAAATGCCTGTCACTATGACCTGATACTAGGGGCTGGAGCTCAACTGAGATTCACTACAAGGGCAGAAAGGACCCCTTTCTTTGCTGCCTGCAAGTGGGCATTGGTGGCAAAGTGCAGCTAGAAACTGTAGCAAGAACTCAAACAAGGGACTCTGACATAGCATGCTGGCATCCCACGTGGCATCTCAACTGCCACGCCAAATGCCAGCCCCTGAACTTGCAATTTCACATTTTCCAAGAAACTTGTAGAGTGCCTTTGTCCTAGTTTCACAGTTGGAGCCCTACTGTCTCTGCCTTTAGACTCTGAGCAATGTGAAGGGAACATTTGCTTTGTTCCCACCCTTTGTTCACAAGGAACAGGAGCAACTGGCCCATGGCAGTCCATGCACATGGACGCCCACGGAGTCCGGCACAACTGCCCTCTGATTAGGGCACTCTTGCTCTAGACATCACCCTCCCCAGCCATTTTCCTCCCTCATCTGCCTGCCATGTTCAATACCAGAATGCCTTCTCCCATATTAGAGACATTAAAAAAATCATGTAGCAGCAACTATTTCTGCATTTGAATGGCAAGAATTTTAAAGTGAAAACTGATCAAGACTATGCTCTACAGCTTGTCTTCCCAAACATTCCCAAGCATGCAGCGTCCTCAGCGGCTCTCAACTCTGGCATTGCTTGGCCTGCGTGTTGTATTCATGGGGAATGGCGCTCTGATCACACAGGAGTTATGACACTGACCTAGCTAGCAATTCACTGAGGCTGTAGTCTGGCACTGAGTCCGTGGCTGTGCTTCATCATTCAGTACCAGTGGGGGAAGAGAATGATTCCTACTAACTGAAGTTTAACTCAGCCAGAGTCTTACAGTAAACACAGCATGAAAGGGGTTGGTGTCTTTCAATGTCGGTGAATAGATCCTATGGAGCACACTGAAGCATTTTCTTGGTGCATAGCATCACTCTGAATGTTGATACTACACTAGCCAGTATCTGGCACAAGTAAATCTTCAGTAATACTAAGTGTAGTGCTGCTGACACAGCTTAAATGACAGATGGGTAGAGACATCGTGGTGCACTGTCACCAACTTTAGCAGAAAACCTACAATTTGCCTTCTTGAAAAATATTCCTAGCCTTAACATTATTTTTATCCCCTTGTGGGTTTTAGTTCTTTGCAACTTTCATATTACACTCAAGTGACTATGGGGGCCTTTTAAAAAACAATGAAAAAATTCCTAAGTAGAAGACCCACACAAAGTTTAATTTTTTTCCCCCTAGAAAAATCAAATGTAGGGGCTGGCACTGTGGTGTAATGGGTAAAGCCACTACCTGCAGTGCTGGCAGCTCAATAGGCTCAATAGGTTCGAGTTCTGGATGCTCTACTTCCAATCCAACTTCCCAGTAATGCTAGAAAAGCAGTTGAAGATAGTTCAGGTGCTTGAGCCCATGCACTCATGCAGGAGACCTGGAGGAAGCAGCTGGCTCCAGCTTCAGCCTAGCCCACGCTGACTATAGGGCCATTTGGACAACGAAGCAGTGAATTGAAGATCCTTCTCTATCTCTACATCTCTCTCCCTCTTTCTCTCTCTGCAACTCTGCCTTTCAAACAAATAAATCTTTAAAAACAGAAATTAAAACATTAGAAAAATCAAATGTAGTACTATTCTTTAGCATTCCAGCAAAATTTCCAAACATTAGTTCTCATTCATATTAAGTCTCCCTTTTAAAACTGCTTCAAGCATTCTTTTGTATCATATATGAAAAATGTAAGTGCAATATAAGTTTACAGAGTTGTCAGTAGCAGATGAAAGCTGTATGGCCCAAGCTGAAATTCTCTCTACATCTTCCTGAATACATTTAAGAGAACTCAAATTCAAACAGTATTAAAACAGTTTTGTCATTGTTATGAGAATGAGGCAGCCCCGTGGTTGTTTCAGAGCATAGCATTCTCAGGAAATCCTTTCTACAAGTGACCCTCCACAACTTCAGAGATCTCCAGAAGGAGTTAGTGAATGGTGTCCCAAATCCCTGAGAAATCAGTGACACAATCACTACACAGTTTACTCTTGATGCTAAGAGCCAGGTTCAGACCTCACATATTTCAGGAAAGCTTATGAATTGCAATAGAGGTCAAATATTTGTCATCATAAAAGAGCACAGTAGCACATCTAATACTGCACTGGAGTTCAGGATAGAACAAGACCAGGTATTTAAGCCAACAGGGTCACCATCACATAAATGAAGTTACAATTACAGGAAATGAAAGAAAGGAAGGTAGGAAGGAAGGAAGGGAAGGAGGGAGGGAGGGATGGAGGAAGGAAGGAAGGAAGGAAGGAAGGAAGGAAGGAAGGAAGGAAGGAAGGAAGTTAGGAAGGAAGGAAGGAAGGAAGGAAGGAAGGAAGGAAGAAAGAAAGAAAGAAAGAAAGGATGAAAGAAAGAGGAAGGAAGAAAGGAAGGAAGGAAAGAAGAAAGGAAGAAAGGGAGGGAGGGAGGAATGAAGAAAGGGAAAAAGGAAGAAAGGAAGGAAGGAAGGAAGGAAGAAAGGAAGAAAGGAAGAAAGAAAAGAAAAAGCATTACTGGTTAGAGACAGAAGAAAAACCAACCTAAACACCAAGCTTCCATAAACCACCTGGGTAAGCTGAAGCATTCCAAAAGAATATCGAAAATTTCTAAAGTGGAATGTCTCAGGATTTATATGTGCTTTTATTTTTTCTTTTTTATTAAAGACTCCAATAAGAGCACAAAGCAAGAAATTTAAAATACAAATGCTCAGTAGAGTAACATAAAGGTGGATTTAAAAATGCTGATCATTATAAAAGCAAGGACAAGAAAATCCATTCATCTGTACCTCATTATTAAAAAGGGCAAAGTTCCCTACAAGCAGTAATCTATTCCAAGCCTCATTAAAGCTCTTGTGTAAAGATTGCTAAAACCTGAAGTTAATGGACTAAATGGCATGAAGGGTTTAGTTGTCAATTATTTTCCCTTCCAAACAATGTAGTTACTAAAGCTTTGACTTTTTTCATTAGTTTGTTAGTAATTTGACATCTCAGCGATCATTCCAAAATGCAACATGGGCCAAGAATCATCCAACCCCAATTTTGCGAAGTCCTGTGACAGGGAAGGTGTTGGCTTCCAGTTGATGCTGCTGTGAGCCCTACACTCTCCTCTAGAACATGGCTGGGGAACGTGCCTGCCAAGGCCCGTTTGGGTCTTTATGACACAACACACGGGCCATTCAGAATTTTCAACTGAAACATTAGCCTACTATAGGTTTATTGAATTTCAAGTCCTACCTTTGGTTGCCTTAGCAGGGCCAAACCAAATGAGTCTGCAAAGCTTACATGACTCTTGGGCCAGATGTTCCCCTGTCTCTGCTAGCGTGTAAGTCTATCAGGCCTCTGCTTCTAAACTGGGGGGTGGAGGGGCAGAAGGGGACGATTTTAAAGGTTTATTTTTATCTGAAAGCGAGTTTTTTTTTTTAAAAAAAGATTT